TTTATGTCATTTTGTTAGAGATATCAAGATCACTTTAATTTTTTTAAACGGAATCACCCTTATTTAAACACCTACAATGATAGTCCCTTTCATTAGGAATCCAGTGACTATAATTATTCAATGTCATTCAAGGTCACAGATAGAGAAAACTCATGCAGCTGCTAAATATTAATTTCATTGTCTTCATTAATCGAGGTGTATAAGAAATTAGAGTTTAACATAAACTCCGATGAAAGTATCTCTAAAAATTCAATACTTGTAAAAAAGTCTGCAATCCGTCATTTTAACGGGTTTAAAAATAATAAAAAATACATTCAAGTATTAACATTTCCCACTGAAAGTTGGTATCAAAATCACGACATTACTCATAGAACAACCTGATACATTAAGGTGTTAAGCTTCTAAAAGCGTTTGGTGCCAGTCCCCTACCTCTTCTATTAAAAGTCAACCGCTGAAAATGGCACTTCCATGGCCTCCGACGACTGAATGCCCATAGAGAAGTTTCTTTAAATTCCAACCATGCAAAACTGTTTAAAAAAGCAACACAAAAATTACCTTAAAGATAAGCAAAGGTCATAGATAAAAATGGTAACAATACATTGATAACTAAGAATAAATTTAGTATTAACATATCCACTGAAAATTGTTGTCAAAAACACAACATTACTCATAGAGCAACCTGATACATTAAGGTGTTAAGCTTCTAAAAGCGTTTGGTGTCAGTCCCCTACCTCTTCTATTAAAAGTCAACCGCTGAAAATGGCACTTCCATGGCCTCCGACGGCTGAATGCCCATAGAAAAGTTTGAGATCGTGGCGTGCTTAACGCTCGATCCCCCGTTTGCAGACGGTTCGCGTTAGTCGGCCGTGGCTTATCGCGGTAAATGCCTGGCGCTCGTAAATCTGATCGCGTTTGCACGCCGCGCCCAGCCTCGAGTTTACGCTGTTCCACGGGCGTCGTCGTTTGTAACGCGTCGTCTTGTGTTCACCGGCGCGCGAAACCTTGGTTTTCGCGGAACCGGCCAACGAACCGCCGACGGTTTATCGCGACGGCAGCAACCACCCCCCACCGCGGAGAAACTTCCTGTTGCGTTAATTCGACGACAAACAAAGTCCCACGGTGGAACGATCGATTACGATTCCGTTTGAGTTTCGAGATCGTTTAATCGTCGAGCGGTGGATGGAAAGTTTGATGATCCGCTAAAAGGAGTGAACTGGAATGTAACACATGTGGTGTAGGCACTTTTTGTTTGTTTACAAGGTGCTGTCTGTAACTGGGGGTACATTTGAAAGACTGTTTCTGTGTGAAATGATGCGGAAGGAATCCTTCTTTGTGTTCTTATACAGCGCGTCTTATACGTACACGGTGCGATCGAATAACATCCCTAGTAGCACAAAAATATTTTTTTGGCCACACTTTTTAATATGCAGGAAATATAAAATACATGTTTACAATATTAAATACATATTTATTTCATATTACGAAAAAAATATTTTGTTTCCAATATTAAATTGCATATTCATTTTATATTGGGAGAAATATATTTTTTTCGTAATATGAAATAAACATTGTATGTATATGTAAATATTAAAAAGAGATCGAATCTGTTTTTAATATTGGATGAGTATGTATTCCATATTTTGTGCTACTAGGGATGTGCAAGCGGGTACGAAGTTATTCCTTATGAAAAAATAAGAACAAAATGTGGAATACAATTTTTTTAATTTAAAGCTTAATTTTCGAGAAAATTGACTTTGGATATCTGCCAGATACGGAGGTAATTGAATAGGATTGGGGTAAGGCGTCTGTTCATTGTATTCCGTTTCGACTTATTATTATGGGAAATACAAGTGGTTCAGATTAATTTTCGAAGTCGATTTTATTAATTCTTTAGTAGAATTGATTTATTAAACATTACGAAATTATTGAAAATTGATTTCCAAAATTATAAGGTTGGAGACATTACTGTAAGCAGAAGAACGAGCAAATGTATGATTGGATCCACCTTATCCGAACGTGAACTCCGGTTATTTGAACGAAAAGTCATATAGGTAGTAGGGAAAATCAGTGAACTCATATTATATAAACGATCCAGTTACATTAACTGTTTTGTCCCCGAACGAGGTTCAGATAAACGGAGTTCTACCGTACCAGTTTTCGATTGCTTTGGTACGAGGAGTATGTAATCTAACTTTCGACATACGAGTTGTATAATTTATGCTCTATATTTTATTGCTCCCTTATTAGCAATTCCACTATCAATTTCCTAACAATAAGATATATGTGATTGAACTGAATTAACCTAAACAATAAGATATATGTGATATGCTCTGATAAAAAGAGGCTAACGTGGGAAAACAATTTTTTCCAGATAAATTTTTATTCGTTTAAAATAATGCATTCCGTAATGGGGTTGTCTGTTTCGTGTTCAGTTGTTTTCTCTTGCGTTTCGACTAGATGGTGTTACGTATTTCATTTAAGATTTATTAGGGTATGTATTTACATTTAATCCAGAATATTTTTGAGTAGTTCAGTACTATTGCCAACAACGTGGTATTTAAAAAAAGATGCATGAACCTTGAAAAAATTCAAGATCACCTTGATATCTAAAAAAACAAATAAAATATACGAAAAATCAAATCTTCTCTTAAAAAGCTATATAATTCATTAAAACGTTTACTGACACAACTACTAGGTAACGAGTTATTTTAGATAGTAGTTCTTTTATTGACTCACCCTGTATAACCCAACATGCATCGTAAAAGCTACCGTGGGACGTATTCTCCCGTTAGTCTCGGAAGGGTTAACAGAAATTGTCTACGAACACATTCGGTCCGACCAAGCCCAGTCAAGTGTACTCGTGCTGTGTCAACGTACCTTAAGGCACTTAAATAATTGGCAGAAAGATTGATGAACGTATCCTCTCACTTTAGACGGTACCAGTTGGTGGTTTATCGTTATTGCAGTTTCGGTCTATGCCCGCCTCCGTTTCTCTTCTCCTCCCTGACTTACAGCATTGTTTGCCTTTAACTACTTTTCAACTAAGTTCACCGTCTCGCTATCTGTTACACGGGGAGAATCGGGTGTGTCGGCCGATTTAACAGAGCCGATGGACGCTTTAAGGGTAGCGTTTGGTGTCGTATCTAGCTGGGGCTCCATATGGCGCTTTACACTTTTTATTAATTTTACCAATTGAATTTGAACGATTAATATTTTTAACTAATTTCAAATACTGAAATGGAAACAAAATTTACTTTTATTTAAATTTAATTATAAACGGAGATTTAAATGTTTATCTAATAAGTTTTTTTGTCGATTGTTGCGTAAATAAATAATCAAAATCAATTTCTGCGATGGCAGAACTCTTAGATGATTAGAAATAGGGACATTGTTTCGTTAAACGCGACCAGCGTGCCTGCTGTTCATTTGTCGGAATAAACCTAGACGTCTGGTAATTGCGTGGCTATTCCCCTTGTTGTCAGCGAGAAATATCGTGGACAGGCCAGAAAATATGAGGGATACTTGTGCCTCGAGCATCGAAAAAGGAGAACATTTCAACGGAAAGAACGAGTCATTCGTCCCGGGTTTCGCGACTTTGATATCTGTTTACTCGCGAACACGCCAGTCTTTCGTTTCTCTGAAAATAATTACGATACTGGAATACTTCGTTCCTGTTACGAACTCTCGGTAACTTCGACCTTACAGACTAAGGTTACCCAAACGTTACGTTCAATGTCCAGTTTGAAGTAATTAAACTGGAACTTTGACCCTGGTGTACCGTTCAGGAAATTGTTGCGTTAGTTACTTCGTGAATTGAATTCGGTTGAATTTCACGGAAACGATGAAAGAGCGAAAATTTCAGCATTCAGTCTCTGTTAATGTAACGTCAACGCTGAATCAGAATCGCAAACAAGAATTTAATGAATACGATATTCAGTCTTAAAGGATCAACTATACAAGTAACTTTGGTATGCCTACTATAATACTATTTTGAGACTTTCCGCTGAAATATTTACAAAAAATTCTGCAAAACTTAGATACTGCGTAAAAATATCTCATTATACAAAAACATGTACTTTTCTGATTCTTCATATTTCGATTCTTTTTTAACATAAAAACATGGTAAAAAAAAACTGTTACGTGTCAGGATTCTGATGATTATCAAAGCATTCTTAAAAAAATTACTTGTAAAACTATTCACATACAGTAAAATAATTTTTTTTCAATAGAATACTATATACTAAACCCTTCATGTATATTTAAAACACAAAGTTTTTGTAAAACATTATAGGCATGTATTCGGTGGGCATAAAGTACACCCCCCACCCCCCCTAGTAGTTCATATAGTAAAAAAGGGCTCGGTATTTCGAGGGTTTAATTTACCGACTTACCTTCTGTGCCAACGTAATGTAACGAGAACAAAAGGACTCAAGTAATTACCAGAGTGCATAATGTCAGTATACAGGGTGTTTCAGGTCGGTTAGTGTAACCGAGCAGGAGATTATTCTACATGAAAAATTATGTCGAAAATATGGTGTAAAACTGTTTTTTATGATGCTTTCTTTCCGAGATAATTGAATTTAAAAGTCTGCTGAATACGCGTGGAATTGAATAGCGTCTGTTCATCACATTCAGTTTCTACTTATTATCACCACGAATTTTTTCAGACAAGTCGGTACCCAAAATATTAACCCTCTAACTGCATCCGTCTACTACAATAGATGCCTAGTTTATCACTTTAATTACAATATCTGGAACGTTTCTCTTCAATTGGCAGTACGAAATTTCTTTAACTGACATCCAAAGAATAGAAAAACAGTGTTACTGCAACTACTAGTACGTCATTTATAGTGAGTGAACACATTGCTGAAAAGAAATTAGAATTTTTTTAATATTTCTGAGTAGTTAAACGTAATAGATTTCTTTATTTGTTTCCTCGCCCATTGACACAGTTCCAAATCGATATCCTTCAATAATACGAAATTTCCTCTCTGTTACAGGACACGCGACCGGCAACGAGTAGTTTCGCAAAAATTCTAAAGTGGACATGCGTGTCGAAGATCGGCCTGAAGGTGCACACCGATGACGGAGGGTAAGTGTCAACGTTTTCCGTTTCACACGCGTTAAAGCATGAAGATACGACGCCAAGTATAAGTGTCAATGACGTTCCCTTGGCTGATAGATAGAAAAGTGTATACGACCAAAAAAAAAATGGAGAATTCTAACTACCACAATAAACTTTGAGCCTCGAGATGTGTGTCGCATTCACCGAGGAATCACTGTATTCATAAATACATTTCCATTAAACACAGCAGAAGAATAAAAAAGAAAATATTTCATCTACTTTCAAAAGCTTCATCGCTAAAGAAGTTAAACATAGCGTCTAAACAGTCGGGTCAAAATTGACTCTGGAACCGTGCTCCAAGGGTTACAAAATATAAAGGATGAAGCACGATTCCTTAGAAGGGATCAATGAAAAAAATGGTGCTCGCGACGCGTTGTTACCATAAATGGTGCGCGCGCGCGCCCAAACGAGCACGTTTCTCAAACCATTAGGTGAAAGGCCCTCTTCTGATCGTGTCTCTTTTTCGCCCTCCGCATCGTTCCTGTTCCTCCTTCCTCATTAACTTGATTGCCTGATACCTCTCGCGGTGGTAACAAACCTCTCTCGCGCCACTTCCTGCTTCGTACGCGACCTGCGTTCTCCGCGCCTCGAGTGGTACATGAAAAATGGCCCAATTAATTTTTGCTCCCTCCCCCACGCGTGATTCCCCCCCTCTTACCCTCACCCCGCGATTATTGTACCGTTAATTGCTTCCACGACCTCTCTGTGTCCCGGTCGAGTGTCATTGTAAATTTTAATTGCGGTATCTCGATGAACGGGGGGCCCGTTTGCACGACGAGGGCGTCGGTGAAATTGGAACAGGGGGGACTAACGAAACCGCGGGAACTCGGAGAGATTGACCATTGTGGGACCATCCGTGATAACCGTTCAACTTAACCTTTTCATTCCCGAATTATCTAACAATTACGAACAAACATTTGTTTATATTACACGACACATAAATGATTCAGAAGAGCATTTTCACATTTTGAAAGCGTTTAGTGGCATTTCCCATTTATTGCTATTCGGAAATTTTTTTAACTGTAATTCAGTTGCTTTTGATTGATGCGTACACTTTTGTGTCACGTTGATTGCCACAGTGAAAAAAGCCATACGTAGCCAGCCACAGTTTATTTCGTTTTTATGTCAGAAATTGTCGAAAGTATTTGCGTTTAGTTAATAGAGGCTGTTTGTCTTGTTTTACGCTGCGATATTAATTTTGCACAGAAAGTTTGCAACAGCATTTAAATAATCTGATTTATTTGCAGTACGTGTCATCCATGTTTGAGTGACGTGGCAGTCAAAGTGATATCTATATATACAATAATTATAAAACGATTGTTAAAATGTTATAACAATGAATTTCCTCAGATCTTTCACAACTTTCATTACGATATGAAAGTGAAGAAATTAGTTGATTTATAAATCCGAAAGATTATCATGTTTGTCAATCCAGTAAACACAAATATACGTTTATCGTTGGTATTTTGAGTGTTAATTAAATTTATAACAGTTCATGCAACGTTTGACCATAAACACTGATTTTGAACTTATTCAGTAGTACATATTGGTAGCTAATAGAATAGTTTGCGCGAATATGAGGACATCGATCGTTGAAGCCTTGGATTCCGCTGAAGCAGCTTAATTACTCTCGTACCGGCATCACTGAAATTAATTATCAAACACTTCAGCATATCTGTATTTCTTGTACAATTTCTATCAATCTAGGAACTATTATTTTCGTTAACGTTCATACTACGCGCTAATGTACCATTTTTTTAAGTCATGTAATATACACAATAATAACAACAAAATATTTCTCCGGTAATTTTGAAATAATTTCCGACTGAAAAGACGCTTCAAAGGCATTGAAAAGTGAGCAAATACATTGCCTTGCTTTTCCCATAAAAATTCACGAAATTCACGGAGAATTATTACGGAAGCGTCGTCGATTTCTTCTTTTCGTGTATGGTTCTTTTCCCCGCCAGTATCGGAAGCACCATCACAATCGTTTCAAGCCTTGTTCACCATTTTCCCGTCGCCCCTACTCGACCTCCCAGTTCTGTGAAATAATATTTCTCTTTTCGATTGCCGGTGCGTGTGAATATTCAAATGGATATCGAAGTTTCCCGCTGCGAGGGTTACTCGATAATGGAATAATATAAACTCTCATGAAATATTTGCGAAAAGCGTGGGTCCAGTATACATCACATTTTTATCGTCCGTACCTTCTCTGCCACTCGCGTCCCGATACGAACGTTAAATTAAAAATGCTCGTTCACTTTTTTTTTTCCCTCTCCCGTCGCGCGAACTCCCAAACCACAAACGGACCTTTGTAAATAATTGAAGACCGTCGTGTGCACCGTGGCGTTGAAAAATTCATCGAGCAAATTGGTGTATACACTGCGAGAGGATAAAGCTAATGAAAAGGCTGGAGGGTCTTTGAGCGTGATCACGTGCAACCCTTTTTCGTTTGAGCATTGGGACTGGAGATTTACGTAATTCCCACGGAATTAGGAAAAATTAAAGGTATAGTAGAATCCTTTCTTTCGCTTCGAAAAACCCCTTTGAAATCCACCAAGCGAATCCTGTAATAAAGGGAATGCCCTCTAAATGTTTAACATCCATTAGTTCCCTCGTATTACTCGTTACGTTCATTCGGAATTTGAATCGTTTTCAAAAGACGGACGGAACGAGAGTTGCTTCGGTGAGGATCGTTTTATTGTTCTAACCGAGCGAAAGAAAAACAGGAGAAATATTCACGAGGGCAAAAGGGCGGGCCGTTATGCAAGAGGGATTCATCAGGCTAGTAGGATGAATGTTGCAATTACTGCCAGTCTCCCTGATACTGCCACTTTATTTGTTTCACTTAAGAAGAACGTAACGTGTAAAGAATTGTGTTTGATTGACATGAAAACAAAGAAATACATGCATTTGTGTGTACCTGGTATTTAAAAATCAATGTTTACGCATTACAGAGTTAAAAATAAATTTTTAAAAGTATAAAAAAAAATATCGACATTTTCGACTTCAGAATAGCAGGATTCAGAATACTTTTTCCCCTAAAAATGTGTTTCGACGTCAAAGAGTAAAAAATAAATAAAAAAAAATTAAAAAAACAGGTTGGTTTAATATCGATATTTGCGATCTCAAAACAACAAGATAGAACGTATATATCTATCTCCTCATTTTGAAATAACGTTTCGAGAATCTGTCCTCTTCTATGCTCGTTTCAGCCGCGACACTTCCTTGTTTGTGCTCGACTGTGTCTCCCTAAAAACGCGCCACCTTGGTCCACGACCTCAGGACGTAATAAATTCACCGTGCCTCTTTTTCTCTCTCTCTCTCTCTGTTCTTTAATCGAGCGCATAAAAATTCACCTTTACGTTCGTTACGCGGCGAATTAAATTCACGCGGAACGGCAAGAAGAGACGCGCTCGAGGTACGCTCTTTTATTGCAGGAACGCGGGAATTCTACCAATTTTCAAGCCAGTGATTTTTTTCCCTCCTCTAAAATTCCATTTATTCGCGGCGGGGGCCAAAACCGCGGCGCCATCCCACCATCGTCTGGGTAATTCGAACTTCGCTTTCCTCGCGTTTTTATTTCACCTTCCGCGCGTTCCGCTCCACAGTCAGCGATCGTGTCCGCGCGTTTCATGGTGAACACGCATTCCACCTGTAAAATTTCGCCTCTCCGCGTCTTTCTGGAGCGTGGAGCTACCCGACTGGAAGCGTTTTACGATCGCCGTAGACATGGGCGTAGCCAGGTTATCAGTCAGGGGAGGGGCAAAAATATTAACACATCGACTGCCACAGTGAAAAATGCTGTACGTAGCCAAACACACTTTTTTTTTTTAAATACGTTTTGTTAATAGAGGCTGTTGGTCTTGTTTCAAATTGTATTACAATATTAAAGATTATACAAAAATTTTGTAACTCTGGGAAGGGAGGAGGGAAGATCCAATTTTTTTTCTTGTAGGGTGGGGCAAAAGCCACTTTTTTCTGTCAAGAGGGAGGAGGTCAAAAATATTAACACATTGACTGCCACAGTGAAAAATGCTATACGTAGCCAGACACACTTTATTTTGTTTTTAAAGGCATAAATCGTCGAAAATGTATGCGTTTTGTTAATAGAGGCTGTTGGTCCTGTTTCAAATTGTATTACAATATTAAATATTATACAAAAATTTTGTAACTCTGGACAGGGAGGGGACAAAATCCAATTTTTTTTCTTGTAGGATGGGGCAAAAGCCACTTTTTTCTGTCCACGGGGGCAGGCACTTGCTACGCCTATGGCCGTAGATCATTTCTGTACACACGCGCGTCGAAGGACGGGGATCGAGGTTGTTGCCAGCCCGTGTTTATTCGTTTGTTGAGTTTACTTTTTCGGTTCGAGTGGTTCGAACGTTTTGGTTCGTGGATGAACCGTAACTATGAGTAATTTGTAGCAGTAACCCTTGTGTAGGCAACCGGGTACTCAGGTACCAATTTTTAAATCCCTTTCGCAATTTTTAATTGTCTTGGACGCCTGTACGCATTGTTTGCAGTCAAAGGATTAATCATTTTTTTCTTAATTCTTTAAATTTAATTATTCTAAACAATTTCAAAGTAGTATATTTTAAACGTTATTCAATACTTTTTTTGTGTAAAAAAAATTGAGGAAATGTTATAAAAAAAAAATTTCGAAGCACAAGAGATACCGACATGAAATTTGATTTTTAAAAAAATAATTTTATTATCTCATTGTTGGACAACCATGCTGATCTATCAGTGTTGGTATTAATCATATTCCTTGAAGCCTCGGATCGATTGGTTCGACGAAGGTGTATGGGAAAAACGCGAAATTCAGATCGGTAGCTTCAAAGGAACGCGATAAATTATTGGAACGCAGCCGCGAAAATTATATTACGAACGGTTCCAGGAAATTGTACGGTATTCTTGCACACCTGGGACGTCTCGTCGCGTTATCGAGGCGCTTTAGGAGATTC